TCTTCCCTTCTCTTTATAGTCCTTTTTATGATCATAGTATTTATTAAAAGATGTGATATGAGACTCTGAACATCTATAGCTCTCATTGATTTTAGTGGCTTATGCAGGTGCTCCCCAGCTCTCAGGCTTAAAAAGTTTATGGAAAATTTTCTTAGTGTTGGAGCGATACACATTGGCATAATTCTTATATCAGAGTTATGCCAAATATGACTCAGAAATCAACAGCATGCTGTTTTAATACCATAAAGTGAATGAATGACCCTTTTTAGTTCAGTATGCTAGGTAGGGATGTGAACGACTAGTCAACTATCCGATAAGCAAATGTCTACCCTTGCTGCCTCTATTAGAAAGTGGCCGGGGGGGAGGGGCATGAGCGGGTGCTTCAAAGCAGCAGCACCTCATGGAGCCTGGGGCCAGACCCCGGGTTCCACGTGGCGCTGCTGCTTTGAAACACGCGTGCAGCCCAGGGCCAGCTGGGGTGTCCCCAGGCTGCACGTGGCACTTCAAAATGGCCATGCTGCGTGGCACCTGGGATCAGCTGGGGACTCCTCCGCTGACACCAGGCTCCATGCAGTGCTGCTGCTTTGAAATGTCATGGGGAGCACGGGGCCTGCTGGCCCCATGCTTCTCACAGTACTTTCCCTTTTGAAGTTTAGCAACAGCCCTGGGGGCTGTAGTCAACAAGTTTAACTGATAAGCCCAGACTTATCAGTTAATCATGTAGTTGACTACACGTTGAAATCCCTAGTTAGTACAGCGCTTTTTATAAAAGTAGGGGGAATGTGCTACATATATTTGATATTTTTCTGACCTCAGAATATTAAGATGTATACATTCATATGTCAGAGATGTAAAGAGATGCTAAAAGGAAAAATATGTTTATTTTAGAAGACAATATCATTTAAAAGAAATATTCTACTTGTGATTATCTTTTAACTTTGTCTGATGGTTATGAATTTTCTATGTAATCAGAACTGACAAATTTAATTTTGTGTGTTTCTTCTCTCTCTTTAGGTAGACACAAGACCCTCCCAGTTTCTTGATACTAATGTATATGTGTGGGATATCCACCATACTAAGAAGCTTATTAAAGTTGATGGAGTTGTTACCCCAAAACGTAAGCGTCACTGTGTTGACTTTGCTGCCATCAGGCTGCAGATCTTGCTGTTGCAGGAAATGCATGTCACACATTTTCATTTTTCACTGAAATGGTCTTTGATTCTCCCTTTGGGTAACCTGTCTCAAATCAACCACACATTCCTGCACTATTATCAGTGTTTTGTTAGTGAACTTCTCAGGGTTAATATAACTCCTGTTGTAGCTTTATGGCAACCTGCAGCTGAGAACCAAGGGCTTCCTGTTGTGCTAGCCAAATATGGAGCCTGGGAGAACCCAGAAACCATTCAAGCCTTTGTTGAGTATGCCAAATTCTGCTTCAAAAATCTTGGCCACCATGTCAAATTTTGGATTACAATGAATGAACCTTACATGAGGAACCTGACATACTCTGCAGGGCATAATCTGTTGAAAGCCCATGCTAAAGCCTGGCATCTGTATGACAAAGAATTTAGAAGATCTCAAAAAGGTAAAATATCTATCGCACTACAAGCTGATTGGGTTGAGCCAGCCTGTCCCTTTTCCAAAAATGATCAAGAAGTTGCTGATAGAGTTCTAGAATTTGACATTGGCTGGTTTGCTGAGCCCATCTTTGGGAATGGTGACTATCCACAGGTGATGAGAGAATGGCTTCGCCAAAGAAACAGCATTGATTTGTACAATTTCCACTTGCCTTATTTCTCTGAAGAAGAAAAGAAATTAATCCAAGGCTCATTTGATTTTTTTGCCTTAAGTCATTATACTACTATTCTTGTGGACTGGGAAAAAGAAGATGCACTGAAGTATGATGACTATCTTCAAGTTCAAATGATAAAAGACATCACATGGCTGAATTCCCCAAGCAGAGCTGCAGTGGTGCCATGGGGATTGCGGAAAATGCTCAAGTGGGTTAAGTCCAAGTATGGTGATATCCCAGTTTATATTATAGCCAATGGAATTGATGATGATCAGAACATGGGTCAAGATAAACTGAGAGTATATTACATACAAAATTATATCAACGAAGCTTTAAAAGGTAAGAAACCTATGCAAAGCTTATACATTGCAATTACTAGCATACATTTTGGCATAGGGTAAAGTTGGGGAAAAATGGACTTACACAGCACCCAATGGGTTATAAATTATAGCATAACTTTATTTATGGATCTGCCTGCATTGCAACACTTTCGAAATAACTAGCGCTATTCCAAAATAACTTAGTCCGCGTGTACACAGCAGGCAGTTATTTCGAAATAGTGTCAAAATACCATCAAACTGGAGGACTTCTTACTCCAACTCCTGTAACCCTCATTGTACGAGGACTAAGAGAAGTCGGAGGAAGAGTGCTCTATTTTGAAATAAGTGTTGTGTAGACGCTCCCTATTTTGAAATAAGCTATTTCGAAATAAGATATGCAATTGATAGCTCAATTTGCATAGCTTATTTCATGTTAAGCCCTGCAGTGTAGACGCACCCTATGGTACATAACACCATTGTTGTTAAGCATTAGGAAGACAAGATCTACTTCCACATGTTCTTAATAAAGCAGAAGAGGAAGCATATATTTTTAAGTAACTGCTGTGGGTAGCTTCAAAATCTGTTCATGAAATTCCATTCATCCCTCCTCCTCTCAACTGCTCCTTTCATCATATCTGTTGGTGCTGCTTCCTCTTCTCCCTCCCTGATTGAATATCTTATGCCTCAGTCCACATTCCCTTCCTTTTCTCACTACATCTTATTCATGGCTGATCTCCTCTCCTCATACCAATTCATCAGTTTGCCTCTGTGTACTATACCTCACCTGTCTTCTGCTGTCCAGTGCTGCATATTGGATGGTCTCATTAGCATATCATCTTGAGTGGCCTGTCTCCAGTTCAGGCCAAAGCAGTCTCCTAATAGTTTCTCCATGGTTACTTACATCACCATCATGCCGCCTGTCATTCATGCTTTCAATCTTGGGGTTGCTTTTGTTTCCTCCTCCATTGCCCTGCCCCTTTAGGCAATTACCAAGTCTTTCACAATTCATAAAAATTCAGTCGTTCTTGTCTTTCCTATTGACTAAAACAGTTGTACGTTCCCTTATCTCTTTACGTGACGTTGTCACCTCGAGTATCACTCCCACTGTCCATCCAGAACCGAAACAAAACGGTTGCTTTTGTCCCTCGCAAAGATTTGGTGGGAGGAGCTTATTTTTATTTATTTTGATTAATTTACAAAATTAAAAAGCACTTCTCTTCCACTCTAAATGTGTAACATTGCCCACACAACAAAATCAATTATCCAAAAAGACCAGTTTTAAACAATACCTCTGTTTCCCAATATCATGTTTTAAAAAAAACTCTGAAATAAAAGCAATTTGCACAGTTCTGTAAGTATAAGCAGCACTGTGCAGTAGGAGACCTCTGCCAGAAAGCTGCATGTTCCTTGTCTTTAAAAGATTTGATCCAGCTCTTCAAAGTTATTGAAATGCCTAACTCCCTTTGAAATCAATAGCCTTTCAGTCTCTGGGCCTCCCAATCTACAGGGACCTGGATTGTACAGGAGTTTATAACAAAGAGAGAAAGCAGCTATTGGTCATTCTAGGGCAATTTGTGAAGGAACCACCATAGAATCATAGAGCCATAGAGCTGGAAGAGACCTCAGAAGTCCAGCCCCCTGCTCTAGGCAGGACCAATCCCAACTAAATCAACCCAGCCAGGGCTTTGTCAAGCCGAGTCTTAAACACCTCTAGGGATGGAGACTCCACTTCTTCCTTAGGTAACCCATTCCAGTGCTTCACCACCCTCCTAGTGAAATAGTTTTTCCTAATATCCAACCTGGACCTCTCCCACTGCAACTTGAGACCATTGTTCCTTGTTCTGCCATCCATCACCACTGTGAACATCCTTTCTCCATCCTGTTTGGAACCTCCCTTAAGGAAGGTGAAGGCTGCTGTCAAATCCCCCCTCACTCTTCTCTTCTGCAGACTAAATAGACCCAACTCCCTCAGCCTCTCCTCTTAGGTCATGTGCTCCAGCCCCCTAATCATTTTGGTTGCCCTCCGCTGG